TCCATCATTGTCTTTCAACCCCCAATTCAGCCTAAGTCTTCTGCCTTTTTCTTCCTTGTTTCCTTGGATCTCTTGCAGCACCATTGCTCACCTATTTTCAGCAGCCAACCTATCAGTTTAGCAGCATCAGTAGCAGCATGTAAGTAGCAGAGTTGCAGCTGCTGTTTTTTCACATATTCTCCCTCTTTCTCTTCTTCAACTTGCAGCAGCAACAAATTGCAGTGATGGCGAAACAACTCCTTTCTTGGGCAGCAAGATTTCAACTAGAGACTACTCCTGATTGACAGCAGCAACAGCTTCTGCAGCAGCAACTTGGTAGCAGAGCAGCTGCCAATTCTTCTTCCTCAATTGAGTTTGCTGCAAAGTTCTTCCAATTGAGATCATCTGCCATTAATCATCATCCTTCAGCCGAGATTTCTCCTCTTGCTTCAGCTCTGATCGATCCTCCAACCCTTGATTTCCGGCAGCTTCCAGATTGGTCCTTTTTTATGCATTTTTGTGCAAGTTGGCCCCAATTTATGCTGATATTCCACATTGGCCCTCTGATCACTCGGAAACGCAAAATTAACCCAAAAGTAAACTAATTCTATCTAATTGACACCTAATTCTAAGTAAAACTGAGTAGAAAATGCCTACTAAAGGTATATGTTTTAGTGTTATCAGCGGCTCCAACAACGAAAGGATCTTTCCATATTGTAACACTTTCCGGAAATCATGTTGTTATTGAAGTCCACTGGCCTATGACCCGTTAAAAATGCCAAGTAATGTATTATAAAATTGATTTTTCATATGTATAACCTTCACCACCTTGGACGACATACTAATTCTTTTATACTCGACTACCTAATTATTCATAAATATTTTCAGACCACATTATTCATTTCATCTATTAGTGTCCACTCTCCCAATCTAGAGCTGTAAACGAACCGAGTCACTCGCGAGTTATTCGTGAGTCGGCTCGGTCAAAGCTCGGTTCGAACTCGATCAAATCGAGTACGCACTGATCTCGAGTTAGTTTGTTAGAGTAACGAGCCGATCTTGAGTTCGGTCGATGCTTGCTCGTTGGCTCGATGAGCCGTTCGGTTCATTATACTTTAATAATATTATTTTTCTTTCGGGTAAAAATAAACTGGGAGCCTATTGAGTGCCCTAAAAAAATTACATTTGACCATTTTACTCTTATTATTATTATTATTATTTTAGTAAGACAAGGGGCGAAGAATATTTGCGCCAGCCTTTCATGGCACGGCTGGCGCAGGAAAAAAGTGCTACCCTTTAAAGGGTGGCGCACAATTTTCTCGCCTCCCAATTAAGGGAAGCGAGAAGAAATTTTACTCCCAAAATGGGGGTGGCGCACAAATCTGGCGCCACTCCCCTCTGTGCGAGCAATTGCTCGCCAAACCAAAATTAATTTTTTAATTTATTTATTTTTAAATTTATTTATTTAATTAATAAAAGATAATTATAATGGATTATCTTCCAATTTAATACAAAGAAGTTATATTCCAACTTATTTAAACTAAATGTAGTTTTCCTTTGACTAAAAGAGTAATAAATGAATGAGTGATGTGTCTTCGTTTAATCAATTAGTCAAGAAGTTACGTACTATAGCTTAGTTGCTCAAAATGACAAAATAACTTTCATTGTCTATAGCTTTTCATAAGTTTTAGTTGTTATTAAATGATAATTTTTTAATTTTAAGTTTAAAAAGTTCTACATAATTAAATGATAATTTACTACGTAATTAAGCAACATTCTCCAAATATTTAAGTTAAAAAAATATTTATTTAACCGTCAAATAAATAAATAAATAAATATACTTAAATAAATAAATGAATTAAATAAATTAAAAAATTAATTAAATAAATAAACTTAAAAAAGAATAAATTAAATAATTTTTTTTAAAAAAAGGGTGACGACCGGTTGGACCACCACCTAATCGGTTTGGCGAGCGGTTTGCTCGCCAAATAGGAGGGGGGGGGGTGGCGCATGATTTGTGCGCCACCCCTTTAAAGGGGCAAAAAAAATTCTCGCCACCCCAAGAAGGGTGGCGAGAAAAGTGCACGCCTTCCTCCTACGCCAGCCTTTCACGGCTGGCGCAAAAATGCGTCGCCCCTCCCTTTTTTAAAAAAACAAAAATAAAAATAAGGGTAGAATATTCTTTTTAAGGCGTTCAAATGAGAAAAATAGGGCGCTCAACAGTTTGATCCAAAATAAAAGGGAATAGTTTTTCAATTGTTTGGAAGATCTTTCATTTTACATTTTCACTCATTTTACCTCTTAAACACATAACCCAATGGAAAAGAAAATATCATCCAAACAATTTTCTGATTTACATTTTAAATTCCAACTTGAAACACTTTTTGTTAGTGTAATGACCATTTTAGAACTGCAAATAGTTTAGTGACAAATTTGGCAGGATTCCGTTGTTGAGTGATTGTTTTTGGAAAAGTTCTTTTTTGTAGTGATTATAATTGACAGTATTTAATTGTTTAGTGATGACTTGTACTTGATATTTCAAAATGTAGTTCAAAATACTTTTTTTCAAAACCAACATCCAAACAACATTTTTATTTCCTATTTAGTTTTCAATTTAAAACACTTTCCACTTTTAAGTGCCAAAATAAAATTTAAGTTGACGTCCAAACAAGCACTAGTCATTATCCTCTCATTCTCTCTCTCTCTCTCTTCTCGGTTTCTCTCTCCAACCTCTCTCCTTCTCACATTATTTGAACAGATTCATCACCATGGTCTATTTCTTTTCTAGTTCTCAAATAGAATTTCAGATCTGGTATGTAGATTCATCCTTTTTTTTTTTTTTTTTTAAGTATTATGGAAAGGATATGGGATAACTTTGAATAGAACATATTTGGTTTGGATCTGAGAAATTACTCCCGCTTAAGTATGATTTGAATAGAACATATTTGGTTGGAATAGAACACATGTGGTTTTGAGGAGTGAAGATTTGGCAGGATTGTGGGATCGAAGTTTAGACGTCAAAAGCCATCTTCAGATTTTTTTTTTATTTTTTTTATATAAATTTTCTTTCTAAACTTTGTCTTTTAAGCTTTATCCATTTTTAGTTTTTCTTTTTATTGATTTAGCCTTTTTAGCTTTCACGAGTTGGCTGATTTTGAGCTTCACGAATGGGCTGAGAATGGAATTCATGTTTTGGCCAAAGAAATTTTGAATCAACACCTTTTTCTTAAAAGAAATTCATGATTGAGCTTTATCGAGTCGAGCTCGATCTCTATAAATCTTGAACGAGCCGAGCTCGAGCTCAAAAATTTTGGCTCGATCATCGAACTCGATTTCTGTAATAAAAGATTCGAGTTGAGTTCGAGCATAGGCAAACTTGAGTTCGTTTACAGTCCTATCCTAAACCAATTGTAATTCTTGGATAAATCTCCTCACTCAACTTATCTGATTGTGCAAAAATTAATGGTCATAAACCGTCTGAATTATAGTTTGTCCCTAGTGAAAAATGACAAGCCCACTTAACCTAAAGACTACAAGTTCGAATTACACCATAAATATTTTAATGTCTATTTACTGCAGAGAAGGCAACATGTTATAAAGGTCGTATCACTCTTTCAATCTACATATCTATCAACTCCTGATAAAAATGCAGTTGAATTCTGGTTTGGCTGACAAAGTAAATCTAAAATAGCTATGTCAACGAAAGGGATAAATCAAACTAGTTGCAACGAATAGGATGTGAAGATTTTTGAACAGAAAACAAGCAGAGGATATAGTGACATTTTTTTTTCACCCTCAACTACATCGAGAGTTCGCAAATTATCACGAGTATGTGATGAAAGTAAATTTTGTTACCCGGTCCTCCAGGAACGTATTAATCCGTTGCTACGGTGAATGTGAATATGCCAAAGAAACTCGGCCTATTTTTTACTAATTTTTTATTCTTTATTTTTTATTTTATATTGTAATGCAAGCCTCATTAAAGGCCAGCTAGTAACGTTATAGCCTTGGATTGCTTAGTTGTGCCAGTACATTTACTATCGATTAAAAACAATTCATATAATAAGTTAAAATGAATTATCATATCATATCTTATCACGTGAGATATCTTCTTATCTTTGCACTTGATCATCATTTATAAGCGACTCTCAAAATGATCTTTTTAAAAAATTTTCCTTTTTCCATTTTAATGAAAAGATTTTGTTTTGTATAATTTAAAATATTATCTTTGTCCTATAAAATAATTCATATTGAGTTTTTTAAATTTGTTCTAAAACACTATCATGGAAAATCAGCTCTTCCCCTTTCTCATGTATTAAAAATGAAAAATCATTTCCTTACAAGGAAATAACGAAGGATTTAATAGGAATGTATGGTGTGTATATCTTTTCATTTGTTCAAAATGTTGTAAATCATAAATATATGAAAAGTGTTAAAAAGTAATACTACCTTCTAAAATAATAGTCCACATCGAGGAAATTGAATAATAACCTAGTGGTTAGTATGTTGCGTTTCATAGTACTCCTTTCATTCCAAAATAAGTGTCATTCTACACTTTGCACATAATTTAAGAAACTCTTAAATAGGGTAATAAAATTACTTGAATATCCTCAACCAAGCCCATTATAAAATTGTCCACCAATAGCATCAACTCTTTTGATGGTAATTTTGGAAAATTTTGACAAAAAGTGCATTGAAATATGAGAACGACACTTATTTTGGAATTTCTACATTTTGCTAAAACGACACTTATTTTGGAATGGAGGGAGTATTAGATCTGGGTTTAATTCCCACCAAGAAGTATGTAAATTGGTTTTACCTACATTTAAGTAGTTTACTGGGGTGATTTTTTTTTTTTTTTTTAAATAGTTCACATCTAGTTTTCTTAAGTACAAATTTCTAAATTTAATATGGATTATTATTTTAAGGTTAAAATAACTATTAAAAATGTAAAAGAAAAAAACGGCAGTCAAAACTGAAAAAGTAAACCAACAAACACTACTTATAGGTATAAAATCTACTCAGTAACGACCAAGATTTTGATAGTATTAAACACCAGATGTTATCATCCCGGAAACTTACATTATTAGAATAAAATAGTAGTGGAATCAAGAATTCCAAAATCCAAAGAAATTGAAATCTCTGACAGTCTCTTATATATTCAAGTATTTATAGTAAGACTGCGAGAGTGAAGCCACCAAAAGAGACGAAGAACAAGGAAGGGAAGCTCAGAGCTCTCCGTTTTCCCCGGAAGAATTGGCTTCCTCCTCCTTCCAAATCCCTTCATTCAATTATCCTATTTCCGTCCATTTTCTAGATTCTCATTTTGAGGCTCAATTTCTTTCTCCTTAATTTTTTTTGTTTCCTCTCAATCTATCTTCCCCCTTCCAATTTCCCCCCATTTCTTTCATGGATACTCGCCGGAGGCCTCCTAAGCCTTCTTCTTCTTCTTCCCCCTCCTCCTCCTCCACCCCACCTCCGCCGCCGTGTCCGAACGCCGTCTCTTTCGACCACCACCAACCACCGCCCCGCCAACCCAGGGCCTCCGATGCCCTGCCGCTTCCCCTGTTCCTCACAAACGGTGTTTTCCTCGTCCTATTTTTCTCCGTCGCTTACTTCCTTCTCCACCGCTGGCGTGACAAGATCAGAACCTCCACCCCTCTTCACGTCCTTACCCTCTCCGAACTTGCCGCCATTCTCTCTCTCATTGCTTCCTTTATCTACTTGCTTGGCTTCTTCGGCATTGATTTCGTTCAGGCCTTCGTCAATCGCCCTCCTAACGAAGAAGAAGACGATCTCGCCTGGGACGAAGTCGTCCCAATTGTCGACCAACCTCCTGCCTCCTCCGCCGCCTCAGCTGCCTTTATTGTGAAAAACCCAGATCGGAAAGTTATGGAATTGGGCTTGGAGGACGAGGAACTCGTCGAATCTGTTGTTTCCGGCCGGACTCCGTCGTATTCGTTAGAATCGACACTCGGCGATTGTTTTAAAGCGGCGTTGATTCGGAGGGAGGCGGTGCAGAGGATTACGGGGAGGTCTCTTGCCGGGATGCCATTGGAAGGGTTTGATTACGATTCTATTTTGGGTCAATGTTGCGAGATGCCTGTGGGTTACGTCCAGATTCCGGTGGGGGTTGCCGGGCCGTTGTTGATGAACGGCTGTGAGTATTCGGTTCCGATGGCTACAACGGAGGGTTGCCTGGTTGCTAGTACTAACCGGGGTTGTAAAGCTATTTATGCTTCCGGCGGTGCCACCAGTGTTCTGTTGAGAGATGCCATGACACGAGCTCCGGTGGTGAGGTTCCCGACTGCAAAAAGGGCCACCCTTTTGAAGTTCTTCTTGGAAGATCCTCTCAATTTCGAGACCATCTCCCTAATATTCAACAAGTGAGCGCTCTTGATTTCCTCTTTTGTTTGCCAGAAAAAAAGAATATATTGCATGTGGATTGAATGTGGATTGATTGTGATGATGGTTTTGACTAGTCAATACTAACAATCTCAAAGACTCATCCTTTATTTGATTTAAAATGAAGTTGTTTGTTCTGAGGGTGAAAAAGAAAAGCATTTTTTAGCTTTAGAAGTGCATAAACTCATACAGGAAAGCCGACCTAGAAAGTCTGGCGCTGGTGCTGATGCTTTTGATTCGTAAAGATAACAGTTCAGAGGCTCATTCGGCATTTGCTCTAGGCATAAACGGACAAAAAATGTGCCTTAGGATTGTGCCAAACATTCCAAATGATGAAATTATATTTTTGTGGCAAGCTCTGATGATGATTCTTGTTGTCCTACTTGGTTAACAGTTCAAAGATTCATTCTTTACCTTCTTTAGACTCTTGTAAAAAGTTCCCAATTTGCAGTTTTTGCTTTTGTGGTAAAAATAAAACCTACTTTATTTCAGATTGAAAAAAGTATTGTGAATTTAAAAGGCCCCTTAAATTGGAAATGCAAGTCAAATAGTTTCATTAAATGCTGTCATTCACAAGATAAGACATGTAATAAGACTGAGAATAAAGGTTCTGTTGCTGTTGTTTCCAGGTCCAGCAGATTTGCTAGGCTACAGGGTCTTCAATGCTCTATCGCCGGCAAAAACCTTTATATCAGATTTAGCTGCAGTACTGGAGATGCTATGGGGATGAACATGGTATCTAAAGGCGTTCAGAATGTTCTTGACTTCCTTCGTACTGAATTTCCAGACATGGATGTCATTGGCATTTCTGGTGAGTAGTTCTTTAACAGGTCCTCTATCCTTGTTAGCTTTCTAGAGCCTTCTAAATGTATTTTTTAGCAATTTTTATCGCTTTTAACTTTTTACATTTGTGTTTAGATTGCCATTGCAACTTACTTTTTACAATATCACGATTCCTCTAACAGTATCATGATTTGCATATTGTTTTCCTGATTTTTTTGGCGTGTCTTATATTTTGCAGGAAACTTTTGTTCTGATAAAAAACCTGCTGCTGTTAACTGGATTGAAGGACGCGGTAAATCAGTTGTTTGTGAGGCAATCATCACAGAAGAGGTGGTGACCAAAGTTTTGAAAACCACTGTACCCGCCCTCGTAGAGCTTAACATGCTCAAGAACCTCACAGGTTCTGCTGTAGCTGGTGCTCTTGGTGGCTTCAATGCTCATGCTGCCAACATTGTCTCGGCTGTTTTTATAGCAACTGGACAGGATCCTGCGCAAAACATTGAGAGCTCCCACTGCATCACTATGATGGAGGCCATAAACAATGGGAAAGACCTGCACATCTCAGTGACAATGCCTTCCATTGAGGTACCAAAATAAGTTGTTTGGGGAAGTTTAGTCAATATCTGGGGTTTAGCTTTTTATCCTGTCAAATTATGCCTTTTAGTATTCTAAATCAAGAAGAAATCCTCCTTTTTCCAATAGAAATCAGGAACTGTCTGGCACCCTATTTTACATTGATGCTGGACTGGAATATGCTTAAAATCTTGATATCATTAGTCTTTTTTCGGTGTAAGAGCTGCTGTTTGTACGTAAAGCTGTGTCTTATCCGTTAATGTTTTCTAATCCAGGTTGGTACAGTGGGTGGCGGGACTCAACTTGCCTCTCAGTCAGCTTGCCTGAACCTGCTTGGTGTCAAAGGGGCAAACAAAGAGTCCCCTGGATCAAATGCCAGGCTCCTAGCCACCATTGTAGCTGGAGCCGTGCTGGCTGGAGAACTATCGCTGATGTCAGCCATTGCAGCTGGACAACTGGTTAGGAGTCACATGAAATACAACAGATCAAGCAGAGATGTGGCCGCACTTGCTTCTTCTTAGACTAGGTAAAGATTATTGAGCTCTTCTTAGACTAGGCCAGTTCAGTCGGTGGTTTGATTCAGCGTCCCAATTCCTGTATTTGATGTTACTACCATAACCTAAGTTAACTTCTAGAGCTAAATTTTCCATTGTGAACTATCATATCTTTGACTTCACAATTTTATGACACCACCATTTTACTCCGCAGTATAGTGTAGAATGTAGATCAAATCGAAAAATATCTATTCTGGAGATTACTTTTTGCTTGACAGTAATACCAACCTTCTGCATTATAATTGCATAGAATTACAAAACATTATGTGATTTTATTAGATATGATATCCTAACGAAATTACATCGTTTATTAATAGGACACGATAGATACATGGAACCAGTGCAGAGAGGATCTCAGTTAAGGGTGAGAGATGCAAGGATATGTGGCTGTGATGGGGAAGGGGGGAGACAAGAGTGGATGATGCTCAGTACACTATCATGTGAGGATGAAGCTGTAAAGTTGGGGAGAAAAAGCATGTGAATCAACTAAGTAAAAGCCCCCACAACACAAAAATACAATGGAAATGATTATGGAGTTTGGAGAGTGTCTCTCTCTTCCTCTGGGCCAAAGTTGAAAGGCTTGAATGCTTCTTCTTCATTTGTGTTAGTGTCATTATGGTTCTTACCACTAATGGGGTGGTGTTCTTTTTAATTTTTTAATTAGGGTTGATTGAGTGTAAATTATTGAAGATGATGCTTTTGCAATGTTTGTTCTTTTTTAATTTATTTTTTCTGGGCTCAAGTTGAAGCCAGCCTCTGCTTTTCCTCTGTTGATAAATTCTTGGGGACGATACAATTTATTACAAAGTTAATAATGGGATTTGTGGTGGGGTTTATTTAACGTGTATGCCATGATTGCACTTAAAAAATTATCCACCTAATCGCTAGATTATTCTTTTACATATTCAAGTCATAAGCAAAATAGATCAAATGGATATCTTTTAATTTTTCTTCTCTGATTGAGAGAATCTAGCGTCATAGTTTAGGTGAACAACCAACCCATAATCTATCCGTGATTGAAATTATGCCGACATTCAAAAGAATCAGCATCCAGAATTCCAGATGTGAGGCAATATCTACTACTATTATAAAGCAAGAGACCCCAAATGAATAGTAATTTCATCATTGGAACTACCACATACATTAGTGCTACTATTATAAAGCAAGAGATCCCAAATGAATAGTAGTTTCGTCGTTGGAACTACCACATACATTAGTGAGGGTATTTGTGTCATTTCAGCGTAAAGCTCAATCAATAATCTTTTTCATGAAATTTTTTAGACTTCTAGAAAAAGCCCAAAATAAGAGACACCTACTAATCAAATTTATTAATGAATAGTAATTTCATCATTGGAACTACCACATACATTAGTGCTACTATTATAAAGCAAGAGATCCCAAATGAATAGTAGTTTCGTCGTTGGAACTACCACATACATTAGTGAGGGTATTTGTGTCATTTCAGCGTAAAGCTCAATCAATAATCTTTTTCATGAAATTTTTTAGACTTCTAGAAAAAGCCCAAAATAAGAGACACCTACTAATCAAATTTATTACCTTCCTTCTGAACAATTTAAATATGCATCATGGTTTAACGAAAAGAAGAAAAATATGCATCATGGTTTTTTTTTTCTTTTTTTTTTTAATTTTAAATTTCAAATTTTCGTCACACACTCACATTTTCTATGAAAAAATTTTCAAAAAGAAGTTACTGTCTACACTAAAGAAGGAATTGTGAGTGTACAAATTCCAAAGTTTTCTTTTCTAGCTAACTACATCCGTCCCAAAATTATTGTTTATGAATTTTTATTTTTAGCATAGATTGGACTAAAAGTGAAAAATTAAATCGAGCCATAGTTTTGAGCCGGAGGAATATTTTATTTAATTAAATTTCAAGGATTGACTTAATTACCTATCCACTTAATTAACCTCTCGGACTTTTGTTTTTTTCTAAAAAAAAAAACATTGAAAGTATCTCTTTTTACTAATTAGTCCAGTTGTTTTTTGCATTCTACTTCAGGTTGCAAAGTGCTAACAATATTTTCTTTCCCCTTTTTTAAATATTCTTAAGCTAAGATCAAATAAATTTTATCCCAAAATTTCAAAATTATAGGGATACATGATAACGCGTGGGTATGATAATCCTAGTCTATATATAATAACGTACGGAAGCACTTTTTTGATACGGTTAAAGCCAAGTTACCAGTCGTAATCGGTGACGTGACAACATGCGGTTGGGCCTCTCTTTTTTCCCCTTGCCTGTTCATTTCTTCGGCCTGATACCCTCTTTCGGTTCCCAGTGATATTTATTCCATATCCTGTCTTCGGTTCTCCGCGTGCTCTTGTAAAAAGCTGTGGAATTTCAAATTCATCTATTGCTTTGAGATCTATTGCTTTGAAATTTAGTCATATCAGTGTGCTTGTTTCCCCATCATGTTGCCAAACTGAAGTCCGGCTATATTTCACTAAACTGAAGAACAAAGGTTAGCTATTATTTCCGATTAATTGTTAATGGGTGAAAATGCGAATTTTTTCGGTTTTATGCTCTTAATATTTTGATCTATTGGATGTTCTCCGATTGTTTCATATCAATGTAGATTAATTGAGAATTTTAAAGGAATTTTCCTCCTTGTTTTGATTTGTGTTTCGATGATGACAAAGTGCCAAATTTGACTTTTTTCAATTAAATATTGATTGATTTACTGGCGTTATTTAATTGTGTATTAGTGTGTATCATCATAGATTGTAAAAAAAAGCCTATGTTTAGTTTGAATTTGTCTGAAATATTTGACAGAAAGTAGTTGATTGTATGTTCAGTATGTTTTATTATGTCACAAAGAGTGTTATATTACATATAGGTGTCTCCATTTGGTCATATAATTTTGGAATGGTTGGGAATTTCAAATGGACTCTTTTACTACTTTTGATTTGTGTTTGAGTGATGAAAGAGGTAAACGAAATGTGTACGGGTAAAGGTGTCAAAGGCTATTCATGAATTTGGAAAACCATTGTCCCAAGTGTTGACGGATGGGGTTATAATGAAATCAAACAAATGTCTGGGAAGATGATTTGGTTTTGTACATTCAGAAGTGGTTACATCTCAAATAATGATTTTCATTATTTTTGTGATTGATGCCTTAAAATTAGGCGGGAGTATGTTTGGCTTTCCGATGGAGGTTTCTGTGGCTCTTGGGATATTAGTTTCTGAACTAAGTGAGGAGCCATGAAAAGGGAAATTGATCACATTTAGACATTTAGTGAGAATCCTGAGCTTCAAAAGGTTGAAGCCCTCTTGGAAAAAACACGGTTTGTGTGAATAATGGCTGGGAGAGTTCAATCAACCATCTGCTAATTTCCATGGAGTTTTTGACAAGATTTTGGAAGTTGCCACCAAAGCAAATATCAAGGAAGAACAGTTGATCAAGAGGGTGTTTGTATTCAGTGACATGGAGTTCGATCAAGCATCTGCAAATCCTCGGGAGACTGATTATTAGGCGATTCAGAGAAAATTTAGAGAGTACCAAACAGTACCAGAAATTGTGTTTTGGAACCTAAGAAATTCAAGATCAAGTCCTGTTACAGCTAATCAGAGTGGTGTGGCGCTTATGTAACCCTCCCAAAAAAAAGTTATAAATGTATTCTGAGACGTCAGCTTTCTTTACTTTTACTAAAACAACATGTATACAACAAATAAATGACCAAATAAGTTTCGTACAATTGTCCATATTATTTTACACCCTAAATTCAAAACATATCAATGTCAAATTTAGATAAATACAGGTTTTCGTTATTTATTAAATTACATATAAAAAAAGAGGCAACCATACCCGGGCTCTGCCTAAACAAGAGCCGCACATCGTGCGGCCTTCTACAGCTAGTCTTTTTTTAATGTAGGAGAAAGTAACATTATTTCCTAAAAGAGTTCATTTTGTTGAATTAAATTAATACAATAAAGTTGATTATTTTGTTAGGATAAAGTGAATATTATACTCCCTCTATCTCAAACAAATAATTCTGACAAAAATTTCTGTAAAGTTGATTGTTCTCTTATACCTGCTCAACATGATAGACTAACTTGTCTTCTTAGGGTACAATAATTTTGAAATTATGTAGTTAAGTTGGTAAAAATTATGATCAATGATTTAAAACAAAACTTCGATGATTTGACGCATACATAAAGTAGGACAATTGACCGAAGCATTTATTCACATATTTCATCCTTTTCCGATAATTCATTAGGGTGATGCAGTATGCATAAGAGCATTTAGCATTCGGTTATTGGTATATTTGTCTGATTGGAGAACTCAAATACAGTAACATTTTTGTGATAATTTAGGGAAGGGCCATGCTGAGCCCTCCTCCTGCTGTCTTCTTATTATTTTGCATTCTTTAAGAGATTTGGACTTTGAATCACAATCTTATTTGTTGTACTAGCTATCGATCCTCTTGCTATTTGTTTGCTTTGGAAAATATCTTAGGCATTGGCAGAACACCTTAAATTTAGAAGGCCTAACACCACATCTGATCCAATTTACTCCAAGTTCACCCAAGAAACAGAAGATAGAAGTAGATTGACAAAATTTTCTTCCTAAGAAAAAAAAAAGCAAGAGAAACCAATGAAGAAGTTTCTTTTTAGGGCAAAGACAACTCCCAAAAAATTAGTCCGACTCAACATTCACCAAAAATCTTACAGTTTGGTTTCACTTACCATGTACCAAGTACCTACTAAGATCAGATTCGCTGTCTCACTCGCCTTGATTTTTACAGTTACCAACAGAAAAATACACAAGGATCCACTAGATTAATCTGAAAGAAGCAACAGCCTGTAAGAGGAGCAAATCATGTTGTTATAATCAGTCAATACAAGTATACAATATGGAAAGACATAGTCACAAAGTAGGCCTGCTTGTGCGATAATGTCACCTTTTCGACTTTTGGTCCGTATTTCTCTGCTTCCTCTTCTATATACTGCATTGTTGATGTTGCGTCATTCATCAAGCCAGGAGATATAAGATTTGCATCAGAAGATCACTCAGATCAGGACTGATTATATGTACTAAAAATGCCTTCAAAGGTCACAAAAGAAAATTTTATGCACAATCACCTGGCCTGTTAGAGTATACAATCTGTTGATCCAGCCATTATTTGATATCCCAAGCACCGAAAACAGGTGTCTACAACTTTCGCCAGGATTTTGGAGCGTGTACTCTATGTAGTACAATCCTGAAATGGAGAAAGATGGACACAAGAATCAACCATGATCTGGAACATATTGTTCAATCTAGCTAGGAGTGGATCTTATCATTGTCTGGGAGTTGCAAAGGATGCAGATTCTCCTTAACATGTTACTTACTAATTGCCTAACAAAATGTGTTACAACATCTAATGAGGTAGATTGAAGAACACGATCTATCATATAAAGTAGGAGTTGAGACTTAATAATTAGATTACCATTAGCAGATTTAGAATCAACTAGTTTTGCCGTGACGCCAGGTGGCCTCTGCCAGCTTCTATCTAGCCCACCAACCTGTGCATTTTGTAAAATGTTATGTGAACCTAGTAAAAAAAACCCAAGAAAGGAAAATAGCTTCATCTACTGTCATGTTTGTGTTGTGTTATTGTAAACTTGTCATTTTAGCTAGCACGAGAAATACGCACAAGCTGTAAATAGACGAGTTGATCAAAGGAAGTTTGTAGATTACCAAATTCTCTGCAAAAGCATCAACTTTTCCGAAGGACTCCAGCCTAGTGAAATCAGCACCAAGGCCCGTGATCACCAAGCTAACTGAATCAAATCAAAGAATACTGTTAATCCACTAACCTAGTTTACTCAGTTAACTGCAAAAAAAATCAGTCACAGAGGTGTACCATTTGAAGCAGAAGAACCTTGAGGATAGAAGGCGGTAAGGGACCTTACCCCATCACCTTCACCGCTTCCCACCTGCCAATCTGTAGACCAGAAAACATCCAATTAACAGTGCTGGCAAAATAGAACTGCAGGTCACCAATGTAGCAGAATCTCGAGTACTACAACTATAAAAAACAGCGCAAAATATTTGAATACCACCCCTCGATAAAATATTCTATTTATTGCATGTAACCTTCCGTTGTATGCTTACCTGGAGGGATCATTATCTTATACTTGTTGACATCGTCCAAGTATAGACGAAACTCTTGAGTCGCATCTTCATCTGATGAAGACAAATACAATTAGTATGAGTAGGTCCTTGATGAGGAACCTAGTTATATTGTACATCAGTATATCACGTGGAGGAATACAGATGAAGATGTACTTAGTTCATCTAACATATTTCAATGAATGAGCTCCCTTTTTACCATAGGATTCGACGAATTTCGAATCTCACCAGCTACAAATTCTGTACAGGAAATGATGTAGTAATACTTTATAGATAAAAGATTTTACCAGCCAGGACAAGAGGTGTATTTGATACTAGAGGAACAGGGATCAACCCTGCAGCAGCAGCTCCTAACCGGAGCAAAATCTCTCTCCTTTTGCTTTTAGTGTTACTCTCACAGAAGGGATCATAATCTCCTTCTCTATCGGTCTTCCTGTACATAGTAATCAAACAATAGAAATCAACAAGCAACATTAATCACCACATAAATATACCGTATCTCCAACAATAATGTTACACAAAGCAAGTAAATATTTCTTATTGATTCCATACAACAAATTAATCACTATTATTAACTTAAGATCCTTGAGCAAATACCACATCAATAACTATGCAACATCATCAATCACTAGTAACTAGTAAGTGCAGTGTTTACCATGAATTATGAAGTAAATGTCACATCAATCACTCTGCAACATCGTCATAACAAAGAGTATTCATTTATTCAAATACTAGTACAAGGATTTTACAGTATTCATTACAATAACACGAATAATCAACATGAGGCTATTATTAACGAAAAGGTGATTACTATTATTGTAGGATTAACCGAGTCAATTACTCTCATTAACAAATTAAACTACACAATTTAACTAATTCTAATTTCGTTGTGTACTTCTTCTCCGAGTTTCTGTAGATAGAAGTAGCCAATTGTGATAATTTGAGAGCGTATAAGTAAAAAAATTAACTTGATAAGAACGTACCCATTGATATCCAAACTCGTGGCGGCGGCGGCGTTGGCGCTGGTGGTGGTCTTAGGAAGGGGGAGATGGGAGTAGTGGCGGAGCTGCAGCTTCAGGGAACACAGAGCTGCCGCCATTTTTTCGCCACAAACGTATAAAGATATTATGGCTTCGCTTGTTTTCGGAATTTAAACTTGTCACTACCGACCAAACGGATACATAATATCAGATGGGCGGCGAGATTTTTATTCCTCTTTTTTTTTTTTTTTTTTTTCCGTTTAAGAACATGAAAATAATGGATAATGCCTGACCTTTACTTTTTCGATTTTTTTTTTTTTCTCTTTTAACAAATTTTATTTTCTACAAAAATGAACCAAAACTCCTATGTCTCAATGCAATTCAAATAATGGATTCCCGCTTTTTTTTTTTTTTTAAATAAAAAGGATTTCACAACTTTGTGAAAATTTTCATTACTTTTTTCCTCAACAAATCTATTTTTTTTTTTCCGTTACACTAGTATATGTATTTTTCAAATATTTTTTTGGGTGCTGTAGGTAAATGTTATTCATTTCTCTTTTAACAAAAATATAGCTAAGACATTTAGCTTCAAATTTTATTATTTTATAGAATTATTAATTTGTGAATAAATTTTTATTGATAAATTAATAAATTTATTCATTTAAGGAGTAAAATTTCAACAACAAAATAGTAACTGAATTTAGTGAGCTGTTTTGAAAAAATGCAGTGAACTTTTGAATCCAGTTTGAGAAAGTGACACCATATAATATTTTGAATGTAATGAAGAAAAACAAAGCTTTTCAGATATAAATTTCAAGTAAACAAAAATATGAATACATTTTTTTTTTTGTGAAGTAGTTATTAATTTATGATATTGATAAAACATACTATCTCATTATCTATTTATTTTTCTTTGTTTAATCTTAAAGTTTGACTGGAGAAACATATTATTTAAACAAGCCTATTAACCAGTACAATAGTAATATAGAGGTTTTACTATCATGTCAGCATGATATTTTAATTTTTTTTTGAGTAAAACTTCATATATATATATATATATATATATATATATAACAATAGTACATCGGTTGACATGAATACATACGTACTTAGAAACTTAGCTACGTGATTAACTATATTTACCTCAGATCTACTAACTTTTATAATCTTACCAGATACAAAAGCCTGCTTCAGCCTAATAATACCTTTATTAATTTCTAAAATTTCTAATGGTAGTTCATCAAGTTTTCCCTCCTAATGTAGTAATATGCTGCAGTCCGTATATAATCTGCACTCTTGCATATTGAGAGAGATGACCTCCTTCAATGCAAGCCACACTCCCACAGCTTCTGACTAAATGAAGGACAAAGAGACGAAAGATATTCTTTAAAGAACCAACAATCATCTGGCTTAAATAAGATCTAGTCTGATGGTGATATACACATCATTAGAATTAGCTCATATTAATTTGATTGGGATTACATTAAGAAACGAGAAGACAACAAATTAAATTTTCATATCGATCTGTCACATCTTTATTAAAAAAAATTAGGGAAATGTTTGGAATCGGATCTACAATGGATTCCCTCATTTTCTTGCACTTGCAGTCGCTATCATACTTTTTTTCTGTCCTCCAAATAACCTCATATTTTTGCACTTTTAATCCCTATCACTATTTTCTCTTCCCTTAAAAAATATCCAAAACTTTTAAAGGGTCATATTTTTTAATTTGTAAAATTTTTTAAAAAATATGTTTTATATGACAGTTATAGTACTCAATGAGATCTATCCAACTAGATCCATATTCTATGTTTTTTTTTCTTTGAACTTTAAAGTCATTAAAATTGTGTTGGCAAAAATGAAGAAATTGCATGCTCGTTTGGATGGATGTTCACTTTAAAATGGATGGATATTGATGAGAATCATATAGCCTTCCATGGAGGTTCTCCTAGTGAGGGGAATGAGCTAGTCCTTCATTCTAGTTTTGGAATGCCAAGTTTACTTTGCAGGCCAATCAAGGAAGAAAGGATGGATCTTGACTACCTATGTGATAGGGAGTTGGTTCAAAAGACCTATGATCAAGGTGATCAGAATGTCATTAACTTTGGGGTTCAAACCAAAGGAGATGAAGACCTCATGGAAATAAGTGCTGAAGAGTATCAAGAGAGTTTGACTCTGTGTGCTCCATGAAGATCATTGATCAAGCTAGTGAGAAGAGTCATTTAGGTTCTTGAATGGACGGCCCTATTTGATCAAAGTGTTCAAGATTGAGTCCATTGCTACACAATTGGATAGGTTGCAAACTATCTTAATTGTTTCAAGTGTTTTTCTAATCTTTTGGAGTCAATAAAGAGAATTCTACAAGTTTTGGAGTAAATTGGGGTTTTCTACAACTTAAGGGGCGCAAGACCAATATTCCACTTTTGGAAGGGCGTTCAAGACATTTTACTTCAACAATTTGGAGCTGAATTTCGAGATTAGAGTTAGTCTAAGTCTAGGAGTCAATTTTCGAATTTTTATCTAGTTAAATAAGTCATGTGGACTGAATTAAACTAGAGTGTTTTGATTAGGAGTCTTAGATTCCTTCTAGATATTATCCTACTTGAGGATAAGTCATTTAGATAAGGTTTCCTAGATTTTAGATAGAGTCAAAGAGATCAAGTACTCTTCCACTTTTACTCCTTGGGAGATAAGATTAGAGAATCCTAATTGGTCTTCTTTTTAGTGGTGCTGGCCGAAAATTCAAGCCTATATATAGGAGGCTTGGCCGAATTTCTTAAGCGCCCTTGAGTGGTCATTTTTGTTTTGAGAGTTTTTCCTGTGAGGAATTTTTGTTAAATGGAGTGTCCATTTTTCGTGTCAAGTATGATTAAACCAAGAGGGTTTTTCATCTTGTCTTGGATCTTTTTGATCTTGCAGAAACCGTTCTTTTTCAAGTATGCTTCTTGATAGAATTGTTTTAAAACTAAACTTCTTATTTTCATACTACTTCTAGTAGTTCGATTGATGAGCCTTTCCTTTGGCTTGGTGTTCGAATTTCATGATGAGTGTGTTCATGAGATCCATTGTGGGGTTTGTCCTACTTTTGTTGGATGAGTTGTGCTTTGGCATAAGCATTTTGAGATAGTGTATGTGTTGCATATCTTTGGTTGGTTATGAAGATTACTAATCAATAGTATTCCTTCATAGTTGGGCATTGTTTGCTCCTACCTTTCTTGAGTCTCTTGATAGATGACTGATCGAGTATATTGAATGGTGTCCTTGTTATTCTTAGCGTGGGTTGTTGTTTAATTCGAATCTTTCATGGATAATGTGTTCTTTGCTTGGTTTGAGTTAAGAGATAGAATCACTTAGATAAACGATCGTCTTACTATGAATTTTCCGCACTCTTTTGAGTTTCACGGGATAGACAAAATTATCTTCGTACTTTCTTGTTGATGGTTGCATTAACGAAATTTGCTTCGTCTACGAGATTGCTATTAGTTTCTTGGTATCAGAGCCTGGATTATCTTAGTGATGGTATTAATTGATATTATCATATCAGTTCTATTATCAGTTTGATTTTCGAGAGATTTCTTCTTAGTTGAGGACTTCATAGTTCTTTGTTTTGAGAATATCTTGAATTACTACGGAATCCGTTACTTGGTGTGGTGATCGAGCTTTGTGCTACTTAACGAGTAGTACTATCTTTATTTGTTTCTAGATTCCTTCTTGTTTTGGAATGGGGTGTTGAAAAAATAAATCAAATTCTTGTGAAAACTACGTTTTCAAAATTGATCTTGTCTTTTGTGTGGTTGTGCGAGACTTCTTACACATTTGTTTGATCTTGTGGTGTTATTTTGAGGTCTATGCGAGAGCTTGATGATGGTACGTTGGTATCTAATCAAAGTGGGCACTACATCTTGAAATTTATCCTTGATTTGCAAGTAGAGAACTGTTTCTCCTATGAGCAAGTTGGTGGATCTTATGTTTTGGATCTTTAAGGAGAGAATTGATGCCAAAGAAGAGTTTCTTGCTCGAGATAGCCTTTTCTTTCTAAAGAGATGTCTTTACATAAGGAGGATTTGAGAGTTTATCTTATGGTAAATATCTTGGATCTATTTTTTGAAAGATGAAGCTTAGTGATTTTGTACTTTCTACATAAAGTATAAATGAAAAAGCCTTCCTTCTTGTTGGTTTCATTTGAATCTAATGAGTAAAATGGAATTTATTGATTTTCAATTCATGAAAATTTCATAGAGACCGAATTTTGTTGATTATCTTGTTTAATATTAGTGTCAAAAGATTTTTCAAAAGTAACAAATGTTGGTTTTCTTGTTTTCTCGAGTTTTACACTTTGAGATTGAGTCAAAACTTTCTTTGTCATGTGATGAGGAATGAATTTTAGTGATATCAGTTTTTGGTATCAAAGTGTTTTAAGGTCTTTGAAGTTTAATTGTGCCAACTTTAAGGATTGAAGTCTTTGACTTGTGTTTTAAAACCTTGATTTTCGAAAGTAGGATCGAAAATTGAGTGAAGTTTTACTAAAAAGATTTTCTTAATTTATGACAAGAAATCTTATAGGCTTTGAGATGTATTCTTAAAGTTTACATATTTGGTTGTTGGAAAAGTTGATTTCCAATGGTCACTTATGAAGATGGCATTGTTAAGTCATTGAGTTTTCAGAATGATTTGTGTTAAATTTAGTATTATGAAGCAAATGTCATAATTGAATAAGGAACTTTAACTTCCTACTTCATTATAATTATGGTGTTCTTGTTACTTTATTTGCCATGGATTGTATTGGTAAAAAGTGATTTTTGTTAATTCCAAGTACAATTTGAAAAAAGGTTTTTAGAAAGTTTCTAAAAGTTGTTGTCCATTTTTGGAAAGTGGTAATTTTCAAGTTTCCTTTTTAAGTGAGTAAAAAGTAATTTTTCAAATTTTAACTATGTGGTAAAAGGTTAATAGCCGAAATTTTGCTGACTTTTTGCATGTGTGCGCGCGTGATTTATGTGGTATTCTAAGCCTAGTTGGTTTTGAATTTTAGAGTCATAGTATAGCCGAAATTGTGAAGCTAAAAATTAGGGTTTCCTAGTCCTAGTTGAACTTGAATTTTGGTTGTCTATTTGTGTTACACTTGGAGACCTATTTGGTCTTGTATTTGTGTGTTCACATGTCCGAAAATTTTAGCCCTAAAATTAGGTCATTGAGTCCAAATTGTGTTATGATTTGAGTCCTATTCGGTTTTGGATTTTTGTATTCACATTGGCCGAAAATTTGCAGCCATTGTTTCT